GGGGCGGGTCGAAGCCGCGGACGCGCGGACACGCCGCGCGGAGTTCACGCGCGCGGTTCACGGCGTAACGACGCAATACATGCGTCCAATTCAATCTTCAAAGAGCGCACCCGTGGAGTGTGCGGCTGTGCGCCGCGCCTTGTCAGTGAGTGGGGTGAGTGGTGCCGCGCCTGCTGCCGACCCGGCCAGGCGTCAATTGGCCAGCAGCAGCCGGCGGTGGTCAACAGCGTTATTGGCAACTGGCAACGACCGCGCGCTGCAGGAAGGGGGCGGGGAAAGAGGGGAGAGGGGGTATTTATATGAGGCTATTTTATTTCATGCAGGAGGACTCCGCCCCTAGCCAGCGCGGGTGTAAAAAAATAATAACAGTAAAGCGTCGGTTTATTTCGGCACTAATTGGGCGCGGTGTCTGCTGTGTTGTCGCAGTTTGCTGCTGCAGCTGGACTCGCCCGTCAACGACAGCGCGCCGCCAGCGCGACTCCGGAAGAAGAGGAAGAAAAAGGAAAAGGGCAAGAAGCAGGACGACGCAGACACCAGCAGGGGGCAGAGCGCGCGGCGGAAGGCGAGCGGAGACGGCGGCCGCCCCAAGGGCAAGGGCGCCGCCAAGAAGAAGGGCAGGAAGAAGGGAACCAGGCAGGGTGAGTACGTCGGGTTGCCACATAAGTATCATCTGCTTCCATAGTTCGTGGCCTTAAGTACCTTCTTTTTCGGTCTCCCGCAGGTCCCAGAGGCGGAGCCCGCCACAAGGAAGGGCAGGGCGGAATGCACGTCGATCCCGGTGGGGGATCTGCCGCGACCGGGGGGAGCACCGGGATCCTGCACGGCGGCCGACTCGGAGGCGGGGACCCCTCCTCCGGGCCCGGGGGTGACTTCGGCGAGCCCGAGGCTCACCCGTCCGCCCCGGTGCCCCGCGGGGTGGTGCGCGAGGAGGACGCCGACCTCAGCTGCCTAGTCGGCCTCGGCGGAGGGGACGCCTCCTCGGCGGGGGGCTTCCTGCGCGCGCCGGACCTGCCTCGCGCCAACGTCCTCAAGTACACCAAGTAAGCGGCCGCGCGGTGAGGCGAGGCTGGAGATGAGCCGGCGCGGAAGGCCTCCGGTATCATTTCGCGGCGCTCTCGAGGGGCTGCAATCTCGATGGCAGGGAGCGAGTCGGGCGATAGCCTGCTTGACTCAGCAAAGACCCTGCGGAATGCGTGTATTGATTCAGATAGGGCCTCGCAGGCGCCCTGCGGCGGGCCGAGCCTGCCCTCGCCTGCCCTCCGATCCCTGCGCTCTGTGGGAGCGCCGCCGAGCGGGCGGAGCGTCGCCCTGCAGGGAGAGCGAGTGAGAGGGAGGGCTTCGCCTGCTTCGCCTGCTTGGCCGCCGCAGCAGCGGCTGCGGTCGGGTCGGCGGTGTGTCGCCCCGCGTCCACATCCCCTGCCCTCTGGACCGAGAGCGCCTCGGTGCTCGGTGCTGATCATGTGGGAGGAGAGCGGCAAAAAACATTGACGATAGAACATTAATTTGATTGTGTGTCCTCCTTCCTCCCCCGCCACCATAGGAAGCGCAACCCGTCCGCGCCCAAGAACCGCTATCTGGTGGTGCTGTACAAGTGCATCGCCGGCTTCACCCTCAAGGACCCCGACGTGGACCGCCTGTTCTGCAGCCGCGGCCGCTGGGTGGGCCCGCAGCCCGTGTGCGTCTCTGCGGGAGGTGAGTGCCCCGCTACGCCACACCGCAACCGGAGGCCCCCCCTGGAACAACCTGTCATCTCTCGGCGCGTTCCCTCCCACACCGTAAATCCCTCCGCCGTGCTACCGCCGCGGCTTACGCGGCCGCGATGTGCAGATAGTGGCCCCCACCTGGTGGCCCCCACCACCCTCCGCCTGCATCGCAGTACACGACGACGCCACCTGTTGCAGGGCTGCCGGGGCCGGGCCTCAGGCACGGCGGCGGCGGCGGCGACGAGGACGCCGACGATGATGCTGCCGGGGCCGGAGACGAGGACGACGACGACGAGCCCTGCGAGGACGGCGAGGACGGCGCCCTGGACTGCGAGCACGAGTGCCGGGTGGTCCGCGGGCGCGCCGGCTGCCGCTGCTTCCGGGGCTACCAGCTGGACGGCAAGAACCACTGCATCGGTCAGTCATCCCTGGGAGACGTCCCCGAGCACCTCATGATGGGGCCCGCGATGATACCTATCGGTTGGGGGGGGGGGGGGGGCTGTCGCCCGGCCGTGTCCCGATCGTATCTCATCGCGGCGCAGTGTCGCGCTGAGTCGCGCTTCGCTGATGCCCCGCGACAGTGCGGCCGGCGGGGCGAAGCCGCCTCCAGTTTATGCCAGGCTCACTCCAGGGACGTGCTCGACAAGTCGCTGTTATGCCGCCGATTCGTATTTCGCGCCGCTGCGAACAGCCCGCCTGTGTACGTGCCCAGGGGATTCGTGGCGCCGCCGGTTAGGCTAGGTTGAGTTCGCGGCGACAGCCGCGCTCTTCTTCATCTTCTTCTTCTTCGTGACCGGGCCCGTGTCGGCGTCTGACGCTGCTGGGCAGGGGCAGGATCCCTTGCCTCCAGCCCTCCCTCCCCCTCCCTCTCTTCCTCCTCTCTCCTCCGGTCGCTGTCCTGCCCCAGTCCGCCGCTCAAGTTCGCACTTCCCCGCGCGGCGCAGCAGCGCAGCATGTGGCAAAACGATTGCCGTAAATCCCGGGCACTACTCTGGTTCGCACGCGGCGAGCCTGACGCGCGAGCGAGTGCGAAATGAGTCGCGGCGAGGCGGGCCGAGTTTATGGCGCTGCGCTTTGACTTTCATTAATTAAATTTATTAAATTTACTCGACATAACAATGATTCACGGTGAGTCCGTCCCGGCCCCGAGGAGAGGACGGCGGCGGCGGAGAACGGCCGGGCCGGACACACTCCCGGTCCAGGTGGCGGCGTTCCCATTCACCTCGCCGCGGCCCTCAGTCTGATGCTGATTCCCGGCGTGTTGTGTGTCAGACGTGGACGAGTGCGCGGCCGAGAACGGCGGCTGCGCGGACCGCTGCCTCAACAGCCCGGGCTCCTTCCGCTGCGAGTGCCGCGACGGCCGGCGCCTGGAGGCGGACGGCTCGTCCTGCCGGGGTCAGTTTCCTCGCGGTGCCGACAAAGCAGCCGACACTGGGATCCGCCAAGTTTGCCGACAGTGACAGTGCGCACAGCCATGTGGGGAGCTTGGCGGGGACCTGGCGGGGTGGCAGGCAGAACCTTGTCGGGGTGCATGCGGGGGGTCCTCCCAAGCTGAACGGCTTCCACGATTATTGCACTGCACTGCACGCGATGCAAGATGAAGATGTTATGTTGTTATGCTGCCTGCTCGACGGGACACGGCGCTGTGCCTCCTCACATCCTCAGCTTCTGCTTCTGTGGGGCGCGGGCTGCCAGGCTTTGTCACGCCCAGCTTGGTGGGGCCTGGATGCTCTGTGGGGGCTGGGCATTGTCTGGGCTGAGCGCTGCTTTCCGCCTCTGCCGCAGACATCAACGAGTGCCTGCTCCGCAACGGCCACGGGCCGTGCCAGGACGGCTGCACCAACCTGGACGGCGGCTACCGGTGCACGTGCGACAACCTGCCGGGCACGCGCCTGGCCGCCGACAACCACACGTGCGAGGACGTGGACGAGTGCGAGGGCGACAACAACGGCTGCTCGCACACCTGCCTCAACACCATCGGCTCGGCCTTCTGCCTCTGCCCGGAGGGGATGGTGCTGCACTCGGACTGGAAGACTTGTAGAGGTAAGGGATGATCCAGAAAGTACGTCCGTCATTCGCCGTCACGAAAACTGCCAAGTTCAACCATTGGAAGCTCTCTTGGCGCCTGGTGGGTAGGCAACATCTTGCACGCTGTGCATGCGTGTACTGTAGAGTGGCCTACACGTAGTCTCGCAGGCGTCAAGCTACCGTAACTTACGGAATGAATCTGAGAAAAAATGGGCGCGGCGTACTTTCTGGACGACCCCTAAGGCAAGGTGGTCCTCGACGGCGGTGCGGAGGATGGCCGTCTGAGAGTGACAGTGTTTTTTTTTTGGTCGCAGATGTGGACGAGTGCTTGGACGCCTCGATAGCCAGTCGGTGCCCAGGGGGGTGCGTCAACACGCCTGGGTCGTTCACGTGTCTGGAGGAGGCCTCCACTACCAGGGTGCCGGCGGACGCGACCAACCCCCCACCGGAGAAGGGCAAACGAGGCCGGCCCCAGGACGACGACGGCGCCGAGGATGATGAGGACGGAGAGGACGAGGAGGGTGCTGAGGACCGGTGGGGAAGTAAGACTAGCGGGGACGACTGCCAGCCCGGGTACCGGCGCGATGACGGGGGCGAGTGCAAAGGTAAACTCTACTTGAGGCGAAGCTAGCAGATTTGGACGCAAGCCGTTGGTGTTAAATGAGGCTCGGTGACTGTTTCTGATTTTGACAGACGTGGACGAGTGCACCGAGCAAGAGACGCGCTGCTCGCACGAGTGCTTGAATGAGCCGGGCTCATTCTCGTGCTCGTGTCCGGCCGGCTACGACCTGGCGGAGGACGAGGCGACTTGCGTTGACGTGGACGAGTGCTCGGAGCCCGACCACGGCTGCTCCCACACGTGTGTCAACCAGGTGGGGAGCTACCGCTGCGAGTGTCCACCGTCGTGGTCGCTGTCTGCGGACCAGCGCACCTGTTCGGAGGAGGAAGCGGGTTGCCAGGACGCGGGGTGAGAACCTGAACAGGCTCCAATACAGGCCGAAAAGTCTGCTTCCACATCGTTCTAAAACCATTTTCTTCATCCAGCTGTTCCCACTCCTGCCTGGTCGTGGAGGGTCGAGCGACGTGCCAGTGCCCCGGTGGGCTGCACCTGGCCGACGGAGAACCCCGGCGCTGCGTGGACCTCGACGAGTGCGCGGCGGGCAACGGCGGCTGCTCGCACCAGTGCGTCAACGAGCAGGGTGGCTTCCGCTGCCAGTGCCCGGATGGCTTCTGGTTGGACGACGACGAGCGCACCTGCGTGGACGTCAACGAGTGCGAGGAGGACAACGACGTGCAGGGTGGGCCCTCCTGCAGCGACCACTGCGTCAACACGGAGGGTAGCTTCTACTGCAGCTGCCCCGAGGGCACGGTGCTGGCTGCGGACGGCAGGACGTGCGAGGTGGACGCCGACGAGCAGCGCTGCCCGGACGACCACGGCTGCTCGCACCAGTGCGCCCGGGACAAGGGGCACCACGTGTGCCTGTGTCCGCAGGGGCTCACTCTCGCCGCCGACTCCCTGACCTGCCAGGACGTGAACGAGTGCGAGGGGGAGAAGCCCTGTGAACAGCTCTGCGCCAACGAATTGGGAAGCTTCAGGTGGGTAGAAAGGAATACAGCAGATTCTGAAAACGGTAAACGGTAGCATTTATTGTGTCGTAACATCTTTATTTCGTCCTGCCGCCGCGGACCCCAGGTGTTCCTGCTTGCCGGGCTACACATTGGACGCGGACGGCCGTCGCTGCCGCGACGTTGACGAGTGCGCCGAGAACGACGGCGACGCCACGCGCGCGCGCTGCTCCCACAACTGCACCAACGTGCCGGGCTCGTTCCACTGCGGGTGTCCTGCCGGCCATCGGCTAGGCGCCGACGGGCTCACGTGCGAGGACGTGGACGAGTGCACATCCGTGACCGCGGACGGCGAGCCGACGTGCACCCACGAGTGCGTCAACGAGGTCGGGTCGTACCGATGCAAGTGCCCGCCGGGACTCGGACTGCAGGCCGATGGCCGCACCTGCGAGGATATCGACGAGTGCGCCGACGTGGGGCACGGTTGTTCGCACACCTGCGACAACTGGGTGGGCAGCTACCGCTGCAGCTGCCCGGATGGCCTGCAGCTGGGTCAGGACGGTCGCACCTGCGAGGACGTGGACGAGTGCGCAGGCGCAGACCACCATTGCTCGCACGAATGCGTCAACGAACACGGGGCATACCGATGCGTGTGCCCGTCCGGGTACACCCTCATCGACGACAACCGCACCTGCGAGGACGTGAACGAGTGTGAGTCTGGAAGCAACAGCGTCCATGGTGATCCAGCCTCGGAGGAGTCGCCCTCCCCCTGCCAACACCGATGCGTAAACGAACCGGGCTCCTACCGGTGTGAGTGCGCAGACGGTTACCGCGTTGACCCGGCCGCCCCGGGTGCGTGCGTTGACGTGGACGAGTGTGCGGAGGGCAACGGGGGCTGCTCGCACGAGTGTCGCAACCTGCCGGGCGGCGTGGAGTGCTCCTGCCCGCCGGCCTTCACCCTGCAGCCCGACGGGCGCGTCTGCCACGCGGATAACGGCTGCCACGTCAACAACGGCGGATGCGCGCACGAGTGCCATTTCAACGGCACCGTCTTCTGCCTGTGCCGCGAGGGCTTCATCCTGGACCCAGCGACGGGCCGGCACTGCGAGGACGTGGACGAGTGTGCCACGCGCGTCCACGGCTGCGCGCAGGTCTGCGTCAACACGCCGGGGTCCTTCCGCTGCTCCTGTCGCGAGGGCTTCGAGGCGCCCGCGGACAGCCCCAAGGACTGCGTGACGACCGGGCCCACGGACCCGTGCGCGCAGGGCAACGGCGGCTGTTCGCACCGCTGCTCCGTCGTGTCCGGGGCCGCGCGTTGCACGTGCCCGCCCGGATACCGGCTGAGTGAGAGCGACGGTCGCACCTGCGAGGACATCGACGAGTGCATGCAGAGCGACGACGAGGACGATGGTGACGCTGGCAGTGGCCGCCTGTGCGCGCACGCCTGCGTCAACACCCCGGGGAGCTACCACTGCGCGTGCTCGCCGGGCCACGCAGCCCCGGTAGATGACCCGCACGCCTGCGAGGACGTCGATGAGTGCGCCGACGTGGAGCAGGGTGGCTGCTCGTACTCCTGCGTCAACACGCCGGGCAGCTACCGCTGCACCTGCCCGCCGGGCCACCGGCTCCTCGCGGACGGGAGGACCTGCGCCGCGGACCGCGACCACTGCCTGGACAACAACGGCGGCTGCTCGCATGGCTGCAGGACCACCGCTCACGGCGTGGCGTGCGAGTGCCCGGACGGCTACCGCCTTGACCCGGTCAACAACAGCACCTGCCTGGACGTGGATGAGTGCGCCCTCGACAACTTTGCGTGCTCGGGGCAGTGCGTCAACACCCAGGGCAGCGCGTACTGTCTGTGCGCGCCCGGCCACGAGCTCGGCGCGGACAACAAGACGTGCGTGCCCGTGGACCCCTGCCAGGACGCCAACTGCTCCCACCAGTGCGAGGTGGAGCCACCCGGGCAAGCGCGGTGCACCTGCCCACCCAGGCACCGTCTGCTCGACGACAAGAAGTCGTGCGTGGAAGTGGATCCGTGCTCCGAGGACAACGGTGGCTGCTCGCATATGTGCGCCAGCTCGGACGGCACCGCGCACTGTTCCTGCCCCGATGGCTTCGTCCTGCAGGAGGACCTCAAATCCTGCAACCCGCTGGATAAGTGCGCCGTGGACAACGGCGGCTGCTCGCACGCGTGCGTGCACGTGGCGCGCGAGGAGAGCGTGCAGTGCCGTTGTCCGGAGGGGTGGGAGCTGGATGGCCGGGGCAAGCACTGCCGCCTGAGGGACCCCTGCGAGCGGGAGAACGGCGGCTGTTCGCACGCCTGCGTCCCCAAAGTTGGTTCCGGGGAGGCGCAGTGCCGCTGCCCGGAGGGTTGGGAGCTGGACGCCGGTGGTAAGGAATGCCACCTTCAGGACCCTTGCGAGAGGGAAAACGGCGGCTGCTCTCATTCGTGTTCTGGCCATGACGGTAAGGTGCAGTGTGGTTGCCCCGAGGCCCATGCACTACGAGACGACAACAGGACGTGTGTGTTGAGTGACTTGTGCGCGGTAGACAACGGTGGCTGCCAGCACTCCTGCTCGCTGGCAGCCCCTGGCGTGGTGGCCTGCTCTTGCCCCGAGGGTCAGACCCTCACGGCCGACAACCGGACGTGCTCGATGAGCGGGGGGTGCGCGATCGACAACGGGGGCTGCTCGCACACGTGCGTCCAGACGAAGGATGAGGTGGCGTGCAGCTGTCCGGAGGGCTTCGAGCTCGCCGCGGATGGGCTGCAGTGCGTGCCAGAGGAGGGCGACGAGGAGAACGTAGTGTTGGTGGAGGCCCCGGTGGGCCCCTGTGCGAGCGCCAACTGCTCGCACGGCTGTAACGCGGTGTCGGGGGCCGCGGTGTGCACGTGCCCGCCGAGGACCAGGCTGGGCGCGGACGCGCGGACTTGCGAGGCGACGCGGCGCTGCGAGCTGGACAACGGCGGCTGCTCGCACATCTGCCGCCCGCCCACCAGCGCGGATGCCGACGTGACCTGCGCGTGTCCTCCAGGCAAAGACCTGGACCCCAAGGACGCCGCGACCTGCCGGCCTCGACGCAGTTGTTTGGTAGGTCACTATCTGTTTCGTGGACCGAGCCTCACGATACTTACTAAAATGCATTTGGCCTCCTCGACATGCAGGTGGATAACGGCGGCTGCTCGCACGAGTGCGCTGACCGGGAAGACGGCGGCGTGGAGTGCGCTTGTCCTGACGGCTGGGACCTGGACCCCGACGACCGCGTCTGCCACCGGCTAGTCAGCTGCGGCGAGGAGAACGGCGGCTGCTCCCACAACTGCTCCATCTCCGCGGCCGGCGAGCCCGTGTGCTCCTGCCCCGAGGGCTTCGCGCTCGACGAGGACGACGCCGCCTCCTGCAGGGACGTGAACGAGTGCGAGGACGAGGACGCCGGCTGCTCGCACATCTGCGAGAACACGCAGGGCAGCTTCCGCTGCTCGTGCCCAGTCGGCTTCCGCCTCCAGGATGACGACGTGACTTGTAGGGACAGGTGAGCGAGGGTCGAGCCATTGGGCAACTGCTAGGCTGGGGCGGCCGGGGCGTTTAAAAGTGTCCTGTCCGTGTTGCAGGGACGAGTGCGCGGTGGGCAACGGCGGCTGCTCCCACTCCTGCACCAACACGGCGGGCAGCTTCACGTGTGGCTGTCCCCACGGCTTCTCCCTGGACGCCGAGGGCAAGACGTGCCACGATGTGGACGAGTGTGGGCGCGGAAACGGCAACTGCTCGCACTTCTGCATCAACACCATGGGCGGGCACCGATGCGGCTGCCCCGTCGGGCTCCGCCTCTCCGACTCGGGCAAGGACTGCGAGCGCGCTCACCACTGCAGCCCCGGCTGGGAACCGGCACCAGCCGAGGAACAGGATGCCAGAGACGGCGACGGCGAGGAGGACGGGGATGTGCAGGAGGAGGAAGAGTCCGGCGGGCCCGGCTGCCGGGATGTGAACGAGTGCGCGGGAGACCATGGCTGCCAACAAATATGCGTCAACACGCCGGGCTTTTATCGGTGTGAATGTTTCGACGGATATACGCCCGTGGGGAAACGCTGCATAGGTTAGTTTGTGGTACCCGAGTCCCATCCCATAAATGTAATCTCAGTGTGCGATTATCACATTGGTCTGAATTTCACTAGGTTCGTCAGCTGCCGTGGCCCCACCGTCGCCCACATCACTGCCAGCGCCACCTCAAACATTTACCCATGCAGTAACTCCTACGATGGCACCGACTTCGACGACGACCTTCTCTACCTTCCCCACGACCATCTCTACTTTTCCCACGACCATCACCACCATCCCTACAGTGACAACGACAGCGATGACCACGATCACTGCCGGAACCACCCCAAGCTCTTCCACGACTCATCCCCCTTCCTCCACATCTCCTCTGCCGGTTGTCACAACTCTTTCTCCGGGAGTGGAAGTACTGTCTCCCTCCAACAGACCGCCTTTACCGTCCAACGTTGACGACCCGCTGGTCTTGGTGACGTCGCCGAAAACGCCCCGCTTCGCCGCCGCCTCGAGCACCGCGGCGTACACAGAGACCACCCGGACTCAGGGCTGCGCCCCGATGCCCGCCCCCGCCGGCGGGGAGGTCCGCTGTCCCGGCCTGAGCCCGTCGCCCTACGGTCTCTACCCGGTGGGCACCCAGTGCTCTGTGCGCTGCCCAAGAGGCTACCACCTGTCGGGGCCTTTGTCCAGGGTGTGTCTGCCCGGGGGCCGCTGGTCGTCGACCGCTGCCTCCTGCGTCGGTGAGTGGCCCACTCTTGCCACGTTTCTTCCTACCTATGGGATTTACGAAAACAAATTAAAACCCTTTACAGCGGCCCCCGCACCGTGGATCCATTGTCCGGGCGCCATCAACGTGGAGATACCGCCGTCTCGGGAGCGGGCCGTTATCAACATCCCCCGGCCGGCGTCCAACGTAGACTGGTGGAGGTAATAAC